CTTCTCCTTGAATGAAACTTAGAGTGTTATTATCATTATCACAGTGAGTGCCAAACCCATAGGGATTACACAGCGCCTATGCCACAGCACCTTGTCTTCCTTTGCAGATGATACCAGAATCTGCATGACAGTCTTCCATTACAGACACTGCACGGCTCCAGGCGGACATCAACCAAATCTTTCAGTGGGCTGCAGAAAACAATATGAAGTTCAACGATGAGATTTTAGATTAGATTTTAGATTTTGCCACCGAAGTGGCTAGTTTATTGTGCACCCCATATCCATCCTGTGGACGGTAGCGCAAGAGCATATGGATACACAAAAGGCCCAGGAACTAGGCCCCAAAGGGTTAACAGGAATACATATGGATTTATATCTACATATCTATAGTTCACTTATCTGTTACAAGCAAATTTAGGAAATTTGCTTAGTATATCTGGTATCTTATTTTCATTAATAAGATATCTTGACATGTCACATAGGTTATTATACTGTCTGTCTCTGTATTCCTCAATAAGTGGACAATTAAGCACATAGTGTTCAAGAGAGTGACCATATGCCTGATCACATAATTTACATTTAGTTTGATCATCATCTGTGTGTCTCCCAAACTACCAGAAGTACTTGTAACCAAGCCTAAGCCTGGCCACTACAACATCAGTCAGTCTGTTCACATTGCACGTTGCTCCATAAACATACTTATCTACGTTCATGTTATCATAGTGGGTTATGGATCTACTCAGGCTTCTAACTGCATTCCTATAACAATCATTTTCATTATTTACTTCTCTCCTAATATTATTCCTAATGCTAGACACAGTTATACTAAAGTTACATTCTACATTCTCCTTCTGGATACTCTTCTTGGCTAACATATCAACTTTATCATGAAGGAGCAATCCAATGTGTGATGGGATCCATAGCAATTGTACATTAATTCCTTTGTCCCTAATTTTTTAGTATCTATACCTGGCTTCTCCAATGAGCATGTTGTTGGAGTCATTATATGAGTCAAGAGCCTTCAATGATGACATAGAATCAGTAATGATGATAGAGTCAAGCTCAGTGTCATAGGTTAGCTGTAGCGCCATTAGGATTGCAAGCAATTCAGTTTGCAATGTAGACGCCCTGTTAATTCTTATGCCTAACTCAACAAATTTATTATGGTTCTTAACTAGGGAGGTGGCAACATGAGCAGATGCAGCCCTGCCAGAAGACTCCTGTTTAGATCCATCAGTGTATATAACTTGTGATAACTTATTACTACCAGCTAGGTGCAACGATGAGAAATTTCAATTACTCCGATATGGTAAACATAAGGAAATTAAAACTTCATCAGAGTACAAAACAAATTCCTTCCACAAAATAGAGCGAAAAACCAACGTCAAAGACCTGGGAGTGATCATGTCGGAGGATCTCACCTTCAAGGGCCATAACACTGTATCAATCGCATCTGCTAGAAAAATGACACGATGGATAATGAGAACCTTCAAAACTAGGGATGCCAAGCCCATGATGACACTCTTCAGGTCGCTTGTTCTATCTAGGCTGAAATATTGCTGCACACTAACGGCACCTTTCAAGGCAAGTGAAATTGCTGACCTAGAAAATGTAGAGAGAATCTTCACGGCGCGCATAACGGAGATAAAACACCTCAATTACTGGGAGCGCTTGAAGTTCCTGAACCTGTACTCCCTGGAACGCAAGCGGGAGAGATACATGATTATATACACCTGGAAAATCCTAGAGGGACTAGTACCGAACTTGCACACGAAAATCACTCACAACGAAAGCAAAAGACTCGGCAGACGATGCAACATCCCCCCAATGAAAAGCAGGGGTGCCACTAGCACGTTAAGAGACAATACAATAAGTGCCAGGGGCCCGAGACTGTTGAACTGCCTCCCAGCATACATAAGGGGGATTACCAATAGACCCCTGGCTGTCTTGAAGCAGGCACTGGACAAACACCTAAAGTCGGTACCTGACCAGCCGGGCTGTGGCTCGTACGTTGGATTGCGTGCAGCCAGCAGTAACAGCCTGGTTGATCAGGCTCTGATCCACCAGGCGGCCTGGTCACAGACCGGGCTGCGGGGGCGTTGACCCCCGGAACTCTCTCCAGGTAAACTCCAGGTACAGCCTAAAGATATGCAATTCACTTCTCTCTCTCTCTCTTTCGCCTTCTCCTACTCTCTCCCTCTCCCTCTCTCTCTCTCTCTCTCTCTCATCTCTCTCTCTCTACTTCCTCTCTCTCTCTCTCATCTCTCTCTCTCTCTCTCTCTCTCTCTCTCTCTCTCTCTTGCCTCACTTTTGTGACCTGGTCATACAATTCGAGTAAGTATTAAGTTTTTGAGTCAGTATTTGTCATCGCTAAAACTGTGCTAGCGTTTGTTTACGAACCCATTCCTTTCCCTGTGTTCCACCACTTTTAAGATAAGATAAGATAAGATAAGATTTTGTTCGGATTTTTAACCCCGGAGGGTTAGCCACCCAGGATAACCCAAGAAAGTCAGTGCGTCATCGAGGACTGTCTAACTTATTTCCATTGGGGTCCTTAATCTTGTCCCCCAGGATGCGACCCACACCAGTCGACTAACACCCAGGTACCTATTTGCTGCTAGGTGAACAGGACAACAGGTGTAAGGAAACGTGTCGAATGTTTCCACCCGTCGGGAATCGAACCCGGGCCCTCCGTGTGTGAAGCGGGAGCTTTAGCCACCAGGCCACCGGGTAAAACTAAGTGTGCCCGAAATGCCTAGCCATGCTAAGCGTTCTAGTGGTACACTCTGTAATCACAATTTTACTACATGTAAACCAAACAATAACCAAATTTCTGTAAACTCAGCATTGTAATCCTTATAGAGAATAAACTTTGAATTTGAATTTGAATTTGAATTTTCTCCATAACCTTACATACTATGCATGTATATCTCCCAGTATTTAATTCATCAAGAGGTTTATGCGTCCGTGTATACACACCAAGAGGTGTGTATCTGGATATCTACACTAATGTGTATGTATCACTGAATATAAACTCAACCTACACCATACCTACTCACCATACAAAACATCCATACTTATTATTGCACTTATTACATACATAGAACACTTATTTATTTATTTATTTATTTATTTATTTATAATTTGAGCACACTTACAGAGGTACAAAAAAAAAAAATACAGATAAGAGCAGCATGCCAAAGCCACTTATACTATGCATAGCATTACGGGCTGGCTTAAAATTAACTTAAGATTAACTAAGCAATGATGAAATCAGTGAAAAACATTAATGTAAACTGATTACTATAAAGCACAAGTGAGTATTAACTCTGATATTAACCCTCCCCTCAAACATCTCCTTGCCAACCTCAACAGAACACATGACCATAATACAAGGCACAGATCACTCTTTGATGTTCCTCGTGTCCATTTCACGCTATGCAAAAACTCAATGCACATAAAGGACGCAGGCCGCCGAGTCTGAGCCTAAATACACCAAAAAATCGAAAAAATATGGAAAATGAGTTATTCATACAGAAAATAGCTTAACTCTTTGGCAACACAATGGTACAAGAATCAATGTTCTACGTTTCTACAAGAAATTATAGTCATTTATATCAGGTATGGTGGCGGCGATGTAGGCCATAATATAGCGAGAGTCCACCAGCAATATTCGATATAAATGAGTTACTCCTCGTCCCCTTGTTCTATTGTTTGGTATGTGAGTGATAGAAAACGGTGTTTTGAAGAGGATAACTGCACTAGAACATCAGTTTACTAAGAAATACACCGAAAAAAACACGATTTCCGCGCAAAAAAAAAAAAAAATTTTGAGACGGTAGGCCGGCCGACGTTCTAGGCCTATATCTCGGAAGTAACTTATTCACTTATTTCGCTCCATAACTCCATTATTAATGATTGTATTGAAATGATTTTCACAGACAATATAAAACAAAGTGTGTTTGAAATTGAGACATAAATTTTTTTGGAATATGTCAAATATTTTTGATTTTATGCGGGGTTAAAAGGCAGATATTTTGGCGAATGCCAAAAATTCTGTCAAATGTATTTTTTTTTAACTTGATAATAAGATATATTAGATGAAATGGCTATGTTAAAATGTCGTGCTAGTTGTATTCTAACAGTTGGGAATGTCGAAAGTGCCACTCGTAGTGCCAATTCGTCACGTCGTGCTGCCATATATAAAAATTATGTTTATATTTTTTCTCTGTTGTTTGTTGGCCAATCATACTGAAACTTTGTCACATGCTTCTACATATGCACCTCTAAAAGTACAACAAAAATGAAATAAATCGGTTGAAAAATAAAAAAAAAAAGGCCGGTTGTAATGCGTCCTAAAAAGGCCCTAAAATCTGGAATTCATTACCTGTAAATATAAAAGAAACACTACCTGTTTATAAATTCAAGTCTCTTCTCAAAGTTCACTTACTCACTCAAAACCAAAATAAATACTGAATAACTGAACCATATAAATTGTATATCCTAAAATGTTACTCACAATTATATCACACAAATGTTAAACCTAACTTTGTTATTTTTTTTAAATACACTACCTAACAGAATACTCCACTCTACTGAATGAACAGCAATGCATGCAACCATAGGACCTGTCTTTGTAATACTCATTTGTATTTTATAGTTATCTGTTTACAATAATGTCTTATCACTGATTTCATCATTGCTTAGTTAATCTTAAGTTAATTTTAAGCCAGCCCGTAATGCTATGCATATAAGTGGCTTTGGCATGCTGCTCTTACCTGTATTTTTTGTACCTCTGTTTGTATGCTAAAATTTCTAAATAAATAAATAAATAAATAAAAGAGATTTAAGACCAAGGTATGTGCCACACTTGGGTATCTTTACTGAGAGATCCTCTGCCATTCATTCATTCATTAGAGGTTCGCCGGTACTTCCGGCCCGGGTCTTCTCCATATGGTGACCCGGCTATCCTCTGCCTGTGCATCAAGCTTTATAAGTGTAATACAGAGGCATGAGGACCGAGGATTTTATACTGGTGCCAGTGTAAGAAATGAGATGCAGTAACTGAAGACATGGGCACAAGTGAACGGGGCCCACTAGTGGAAGCAAGTCAGGCCCATAAGATGGGCCAGAGATTTAGCAACGAGTTAAAGATTATGTGGAGAGATGCATCAGTTGAAGATGTGGTCCCAATGGAAATAAGTCACTTTGACTTTTTGGGTTAGTCCAGGTAATCTACACATGCTGCTATGTATGATAATTCATATAACTGTATTCATGTGTACCTATAGCTGAATAAACTTAGTGTGTGGAGAGGAGCAACGTGCAATGTGAACAGACTGACTGATGTTGTAGTGGCCAGGCTTAGGCTTGGTTACAAGTACTTCTGGCAGTTTGGGAGACACACAGATGATGATCAAACTAAATGTAAATTATGTGATCAGGCATATGGTCACTGTTTTGAACACTATGTGCTTAATTGTCTACTTATTGAGGAATACAGAGATAGACAGTATAATAACCTATGTGACATGTCAAGATATCTTATTAATGAAAATAAGATACCAGATATACTTAGATACGTGAACTGTAGATATAAATTCATATGTACACCTGATAACCCTTTTGGAGCCTAGTTCCTAGGCCTTTTGTGTATCCATATGCTCTTGCACTACCGTCCACAGGATGGATATAAGGTGCACAATACATTAGCCACTTCGGTGGCAAAATATAATCTAATCTAAAGAGGAGGAGGAGGAGGGAGGGTCCATGACGGCTCCAGCTGTAGTAACCTTTAGAAACACAGCAACAATCACTTGACTTCAAAATGTGTGGGAGAACAGCTTGGTAAGTCTTCCAGTAAATTCCAAATGAAATGTTAGTGATTCGTAAATCTAAACTAAAAATAAGGACCTACACGACACAGTGCTTCAAATGAGTTATCATTAGACATAATGAACGAGTTTTATAATGTAAACTCAACAAGTATGAAGGTCATGGGTAACACGTCGGGAAATTCTTGTCATTACTGTACATAAATATAACTAACAGTATTCCAATCTTGTCAGCACAATTTAATATTTATGCATTGTATTCCGGACGTGGAATAACATGTACGTATAAATAATAATGTACATATCTATAAAATAAAATATCAAAGGAATGGGAGCCTATGAGGTGATCTGTTTAATTAGGTTAAAACCAAATAAATTTGACAAATCTATTTGCTCTACACTTTATTCTAAGTCAATATGCAGCACTTTTTTATTACTTGAAATCACACATTAATGTAGTTGGATACATTAGGAAAAAAGTATCTGGAGAAAATGAGGGGACCCTATATTGTGACTGCCACATAATGTATCATTATTTAGGAGTGGTAGCTACCCATCCCTCTCCTTGGATCAAAGCTGACTGCAATTGAGACTCTTATTCCCCAGGTGCTGTGTGACCTTTACTATTTTATAGCTTTCCTTTGAATGTAATGGGGTATCTATTGGGACCCCAATGGAAATAAGTCACTGGCTACTTTTCAAATGAACAGTTTGTTTAAGGCTATTTATGTGGCAGCTGAGTAGAGACTGGTTTATATGCTTGGCAGCAGTAATCTATAAAAATGTATATTTAGCCACAAATAAGTAGATTTAAAAATAAATGAATGCAGCACATCCAGCACTGCAAATCAGTATGTTTATGTTTCAGCATTTGGTTGCCCATCATGCATTGTGTCCTGTAGCTTGATTGCTAGCGCACTCAGCTCTCGCACACCGAGGTCCGGGGGTCAATTCCTGGTACGGGTGAAAACATTAGGATGTGTTTCCTTAAGACACCTGCTGTCCATGTTCACCTATTAGTAACATAGGTACCTGGGTGTTAGTTGACTGGTATGGATCACATCCTAGGGACATAATTCATCTAATTTGCCCGAAATGCTCTGCATAACAAGGAGATTTCTGTATAGTATTTTATTGATGTCAGCTAGGCCTGTATACCTTGTACTTGTAGAAATAAATATTATTATTATCATTATGTTTGTTTGTTAATGTATGTGGAAGTAGGAGTACAGCTCAGTGATCAGAGAAAATAAGAGAGCAGGGGGAGAATGAGCCTCAGTGCTCCTTGCCCTGGATGACTCATAAGGATTTAGTGTTTCTGGTAAATATGTATAATAATGATAAAAATAATTATAATTATCCATTTTCAGCACTCTAGCACCAGATGAGATTTGCAAGGCATGCAGTGTACTGACAGTTACTGAAGATGGGAAGAAATGTTACAAGCCCCTTCAGTGGAAGGAGCACCCAGGAAATTATTCTTATGCGCCATCATACAACATGGCTCCATCACGCATTACTCCTGTGATAATAAGGTATCATTAATTAATGGTCTCTTTCACCTTTCGTCCTACTTTACTAATCTCTTCATTGAAAATAATATAAATGTTCTACATATCTTATTAGATTACCGTAATGTTGGCCAGTGTTGTAATTAAGAAGGCAGCATCCTATCATTTAATATGCTATGTGCTAAAATTTTATTGCTTAAAAGTTATTTACATACACAACATAGCTAGTATTCAAATTCAAGTTTTGTTACTAATATGTTGCTATACAAAACACTTTAACTAATGACATTTCTTCATTTTATACCTCTCAATAGGGGTTGGGTGCCTTGATGCCAGCAAATGGTTCTTTTTCCAATTAATTGGAGCTACTCTTCCCTGTCTGAGAACAAAATTGATTACATCTGTGCTTTATAACCCCTGCAGGTTTAATTCTTCTTCGTAATTATGGTACTAATCTTCATTCAGTATTTACAGTCATATATTACACAGCCCTTCCCTAATAATACATACAGTACAGCATATTTTTATGTTATCTAAGAAACTAGCATAATGTTTAAGAATAAAATTTAAATCCTCAGTGAACACCATGTGCAAGGTACAAAAAGGGATTCAGATGATGAAACAGTTCCTCCACAGCGTATTATACAGCCTATGATGTGGGGACTTATTCCACCATTCTATAAGGTAATAAATTGGCTTAATAGTTATATAATGCTGTTACTGATATTCAATGCTTAATTATTATCTAAATCAGATTAAATTGATTTCTAGTGTGTTATCTTGTGTGTTCTAATTCTTGCATAATTTTGTACATACTATATAGTGAAGCCTCAAAATTAGTGCCTCAGATTATTGGTCTATATTTAAAAGTCCCACTCCAAGTCATCTACATTTAATATATGTGATGAATGGTTTGAAAAACCGACAAGTTGAAGATTGAGACACTTATGCAGCATATGGGAATCTTTATTCAGGAAACGTTTCGCCACACAGTGGCTTCATCAGTCCAATACAAAGAGGAAGGCGTAAGGAGAGGAGGAGTGTGAGGTAATCAGTCCCTCAACCTGGAGTCGATGTGTTCAGTCCATCAATTTTGTATTGGACTGATGAAGCCACTGTGTGGCGAAACGTTTCCTGAATAAAGATTCCCATATGCTGCATAAGTGTCTCAATCTTCTACATTTGATATATACTGTGCTCTATATACATATAGACATTTGAAATGGTGTGAAGTATTTTTGCCAGTCTGAACTTCATTATTAATCATTTTCTGTACAATTTTAGCCCCCATTTCTTAGTACAGGTTGGCCATCACTAATCCGGCAATCAGTAATCCAGTTCCATCAGTAATGCAGCACTAATTTCAGCTAGCATAATTTCAAATTTCCGGCGTCACCACACCAACCTGCTGCTATTGTTTGATGGCTCTACTTGCTGCATAAGTCATTCAGATTTCTTTTTCTCCATTTATTGTTATAACCTGCTCACTTTTAGCCCTAGCCATGGTTCCAATGAATAAAAGAAATGCTTCTCATTGTGTAAAGCACATACACCGTACATTGTCCATAAAAGATAAGGTGGCTTTCAAGCCACTATAGGTTGCCATGAGCTCAGCTCACTTAGATAAGCTGTGACCAGTAAATTTGGGCCTACATATGAAAGAATAGGTCTATGTGGTAAGTGTGCACTATATAAAAAAATCCTGCAGCACACAGTGCATAATGAGGAAAAAAATGGCGACTGTGCTTTTAGTGTAAAATATCAACTTTGCAGTGTACTTTCATATGGTTTGTATGGTTGTATACTCTCGTTTTCTTGGTTTCATTTGATTGAATGGAAGATTTATTACAGAAATAGATGTAATTTTTGATTGGTTTCACACCGGAATGTACAGTGGTACCCCGAGTTTCGGCCATAATTCATTCCAGAAGGCTGTTTGAGTGCCGTTACTGAACGAATTTGTTCCCATGAGGAATGACATAAATTAAATTAGTCTGTTTCAGACCCCCAAAAATACGCTTAAAAAAGCACTTATAATAATACACTTACATAATTGTTTGAGTTAGGAGCTGTGCGAGACTCGGGGTACCACTGTACCTCAAATTGAGCTCAAAGTAGAGGAAATGTTTGATTTTTGCCGATATTTAAGAGTAAACAAATGATGTCATCATCCAATACGTGTCCAACTGGCTGGTCTAATACACAGTCACGAATGGGTTGACATTATTTATACAATTATTACAATAATTCAGTAGTGTGCATAACAGTAAATCTTCTATTTTTTTGTGTGAAAAAAATTCAAAATGGAAAGCATGTGTAATATAAGAGGGGCCTGGAGAATTGAGTGATGAACAGAGAAAATGTTATTTTAGTGCTAGGAATGTCTGCATTGTTTATTCTGGACCCTATTTTGAAATTGGCATCTCTTGAAACTTGTATGAAATTGACCAAATTACCGATTTCTGACCACTTTATTGGATAGTTGAGATAGGTAAATGGGCAGTTTCCTGTACTTAAATCGACAAAACGAATACTAGCGAAATAGCTACGAGTTTAATAAACTGGAACAATGGAATGGGTCAAAAATAGGGTAAATAGTGGGTAAAATTGTCGATGTTTAAATATGGCCATTGGGTTAAGTGTTTTCTAACCTAACCACTTTGTAATCCGGCAAAATCACTAATCCGGCACCCTACACATCCTGATGATGCTTAATTAATAATGATCAACCTGTAGTAGGTTACTAGACAGAAATCACACTGGGAGGCACTACTGTCTTTGTGTGAAATAGAAATCTGCTAAATGTTTTACAATCTGACAGGATTGCTACTTTTCTCTTTGTCTCATAAACACAGATGACCGGCAGATCTTACAACTAGAGTATTATTAACATTTAGTATAAATGTATTTGCAAATATGCATGTTTATATGTTTGTGAATATACACTCATCTGAATTTTCTTCTGAATTTCTTAATAGTTCTTTTCCTTGCAATATTTCCTTTCCAGTTTCACAGGAAGTGTTGTTAGAATTCTTCCTTCTTAATCAGTGTGCATTGTAGGAAACTGTTAAAATGCTGGGAGCAAGGTGTTAAGAATCCCCTTCTGTATCACTTACTAAAATGATAAAAAAGAAACTTTAAAGTTGGGCTGTTGAAATGTGTGTGGCTGTAATATGGATGATGAAAAAAAAACTAAATTGAGCGGGAGAATTTTAGCGGGGAAGAATAAATGGGATTAAATTTTGGTGTGATTTGTAAGAACTAGAGCTCAAGAACAAGCAGCATTAATATAAATTAATTATAAACTGTGGAAGGGGGTATAATTGTTTAGCTTCAAGAATTATGTGGATTAGGATAAAGGTGGGATGTGGGTAATAATATGTAAGCATTTATGCACCTTATAGGTAGTAGGTTGGTAGACAGCAACCACCCAGGGAGGTACTACCGTCCTGCCAAGTGAGTGTAAAACGAAAGCCTGTAATTGTTTTACATGATGGTAGGATTGCTGGTGTCCCTTTTTCTGTCTCATAAACATGCAAGATTTCAGGTACATCTTGCTACTTCTACTTACACTTAGGTCACACTACATACATGTACAAGCATATTTATACACACCCCTCTGGGTTTTCTTCTATTTTCTTTCTAGTTCTTATTCTTGTTTATTTCCTCTTATCTCCATGGGGAAGTGGAACAGAATTCTTCCTCCGTAAGCTATGCGTGTTGTAAGAGGCGACTAAAATGCCGGGAGCAAGGGGCTAGTAACCTCTTCTCCTGTATATATTACTAAATGTAAAAGGAGAAACTTTCGTTTTTCCTCTTGGGCCACCCCCGCCTTGGTGGGATACGGCCGGTGTGTTGAAAGAAAGAAAGAAGATTTTTGCACCTAGAGAAGACAGGAGAGAGATATGGTGACTTATAGAGGTGTTAAGCACATGTTCTGAAGAGTAATTGGAAGATTTTTTTTTTTAATCACTAAATATTTTTCATAAATTGTTATGCTTACAGGGTTCTGCTCCTACTGGTCATGGCTTGAAAACTTCCAACTGTAGATTTGAAAATATAGAAGAAAAGAAAACTTTCAAACCATCCCTTGTTAAAGGACAAAGGTAAGCTTTCTTTTATAGTTATATAATGCAGTACGTACATAATTTTTTCAAAGAGATCATTCATACCTTTAAATTCTCTATAGGTATTGTGATATGGCAAGTTAGAGAGTAGAAGAGATGGTATGAGCATGAATGTTATACAAGAAAAAGAAGTGTGAGCTGGGTGTCTTCATTAAGAGAACCTGTAGAATAATATGGGAAACACTGATGGGAAATAATGTAATAAATTTGTTACACTGTAATAAAGTAAGAAGAATCCTGTCAAGTACTCCTTAGCCTTTTGTATTAATTATCCCTCGTACACTGTTAGATGATCTTAGATATTGTGGAAAGTCTTTGCCACTTTCTTCTTATCTTTACATTTGCCATACATCATATGAATCTTCATGCATCCTTCAATTTCGAGATTTAAACAAACCTCAAGAAACTACAGAGATGAGTAATAATCAGCCTGATGTCATTGGAGTAAAGAGGAAATTTCCAAAAATTTGTGAAAATGATGACAGTTCTTGACTGACTGCATGGTGGTGATTTATGAGTTATTACAGTAGAAGCCCCAATAATGTGTCCAAGCAACACCTTTTTACTATCAAACAGCTGAATTTTTGCACCAAATTGTGTATTAAATGGAAAGAAGAATATACAGTACACCAAAAATTTTGGAAAAAATTTGGTGTGCCATGGGATCATTCCCCTCTGTGTGGCAGTTAGCCTCCTGGTACAAACAATGTTTTTTCAGGAGGCCTAAATTTGCTCTTGGTGTTGACAATCTTTTGTGCATCCAATTCATCATTTGTATGCATCCCATACCCCTACTAAAGCATGTGAGAAATCTGTTGTCAATCTTTTCATGAGCCCAAAAGTATACAGGCATACCAGACGACCACTGAATTGTCACGTAAAAAATTGTATTTGATAAAAATGCAGCTCAAATGAAGCTAAAAATAAAGTAAAATATATAAAGTAAACTTTCTTATAGCATGATTTTACATAGTACAATTTAGTTACATGATTGAAAAAGTGCTTCCAAAAACTGGTAACACAGAAACCTTGATATTACAATACATGATGTAAAGCATTAAACTATATGCAAAATTTGAGTACTATATGCCATAGTACATTAGTCCTTCCATTCTACTGACAACCCAAGTCACCTATAGTTGCATTCTGGAAGTGAATTGCATTCACTCAATATATTTGCCTATTTGTGGTTGCAGTGGTTTACTCTCAGACCCTTGCCCAGCCTCTTAACTTGCCACTCTTTAGATTTACTCTGTCTTAGCCTTGTGGACCCTATCGTACCTACTCTTAAAACTATGTATTGAGCCTGCCTCGCTCACTGTTTATCAAACTATTTTGTATATTTTCCTCCCTCTGTCTGGTCTCTCAGTATTAACCCTAATACTCAAGAGACATACTAGTGAAGCTAGATGTGCTAAGAAAAAGAATAAGCATGAATCTGCAACTTCATTGAAGAAAAGGGACATGTTAAATACAGTATTCTTAGAGGGTGCATGTGATGGAAATTCTCCAAGTTTAGTATGAATAAAGCCATTTGCATAATTAGAAAGGAAGAGGGAAAAAATAAGAACATTCTCACTAATTAGTACAATTTACTACCTGCTCAAAAGAATGTCAGAAGCCATTACAGTAAAATAAGACAGAAAAATTATTGAATGTGTGGATTGAAGAAAAAAAAAACAAAGAATCGGCCCCACTTAGTGATTAGATAATACGTAAAGCAAGAAAAATCTTTCTTATGAAACTGTGAGAGGAGGGTGAGCCTTCACAGTATATGCTTAGTGCAGGATGGTTTGAAAATTTTAAAAAGTGCAAACATCTCATTAATGCCATAAAGATTTCTGGTCAGCTCTATAAATTACTGCAGGGTAGAGCATACCAGACTCACATTACAGAATATTTAACACTCCAATACAGTCATCAGTTACTGATATCTCTGTAACCACATTAAAACAAGAATGACAGCCATCAACCTCAGCCCAATAGGGCCTCATCAACCATTTCCACACACTTTCATGCCAACAAGTAATGACAGCTAAAATGTTAATTATTACAATATTAAGAAAAGATAAATAAAGGTAGATGGCGAGAATATTTTGAGGAACTTTTAAATGTTGAGGAAGAAAGGGAGGTGGTAATTTCATGCACTGGTCAGGGAGGTATACCATCTTTTAGGAGTGAAGAAGAGCAGAATGTAAGTGTGGGGGAGGTACGTGAGGCATTACATAGAATGAAAGGGGGTAAAGCAGCTGGAACTGATGGGATCATGACAGAAATGTTAAAAGCAGGGGGGGATATAGTGTTGGAGTGGTTGGTACTTTTTTTTAATAAATGTATGAAAGAGGGGAAGGTACCTAGGGATTGGCGGAGAGCATGTCTAGTCCCTTTATATAAAGGGAAAGGGGACAAAAGAGATTGTAAAAATTATAGAGGAATAAGTTTATTGAGCATACCAGGAAAAGTGTATGGTAGGGTTATAATTGAAAGAATTAGAGGTAAGACAGAATGTAGGATTGCAGATGAGCAAGGAGGTTTCAGAGTGGGTAGGGGATGTGTAGATCAAGTGTTTACATTGAAGCATATATGTGAACAGTATTTAGATAAAGGTAGGGAAGTTTTTATTGCATTTATGGATTTAGAAAAGGCATATGATAGAGTGGATAGGGGAGCAATGTGGCAGATGTTGCAAGTATATGGAATAGGTGGTAAGTTACTAAATGCTGTAAAGAGTTTTTATGAGGATAGTGAGGCTCAGGTTAGCGTGTGTAGAAGAGAGGGAGACTACTTCCCGGTAAAAGTAGGTCTTAGACAGGGATGTGTAATGTCACCATGGTTGTTTAATATATTTATAGATGGGGTTGTAAAAGAAGTAAATGCTAGGGTGTTCGGGAGAGGGGTGGGATTAAATTATGGGGAATCAAATTCAAAATGGGAATTAACACAGTTACTTTTTGCTGATGATACTGTGCGTATGGGAGATTCTAAAGAAAAATTGCAAAGGTTAGTGGATGAGTTTGGGAATGTGTGTAAAGGTAGAAAGTTGAAAGTGAACATAGAAAAGAGTAAGGTGATGAGGGTATCAAATGATTTAGATAAAGAAAAATTGGATATCAAATTGGGGAGGAGGAGTATGGAAGAAGTAAATGTTTTCAGATACTTGGGAGTTGACGTGTCGGCGGATGGATTTATGAAGGATGAGGTTAATCATAGAATTGATGAGGGAAAAAAGGTGAGTGGTGCACTGAGGTATATGTGGAGTCAAAAAACGTTATCTATGGAGGCAAAGAAGGGAATGTATGAAAGTATAGTAGTACCAACACTCTTATATGGGTGTGAAGCTTAGGTGGTAAATGCAGCAGTGAGGAGACGGTTGGAGGCAGTGGAGATGTCCTGTCTAAGGGCAATGTGTGGTGTAAATATTATGCAGAAAATTCGGAGTGTGGAAATTAGGAAAAGGTGTGGAGTTAATAAAAGTATTAGTCAGAGGGCAGAAGAGGGGTTGTTGAGGTGGTTTGGTCGTTTAGAGAGAATGGATCAAAGTAGAATGACATGGAAAGCATATAAATCTATAGGGGAAGGAAGGCGAGGTAGGGGTCTTCCTCGAAAGGGTTGGAGAGAGGGGGTAAAGGAGGTTTTGTGGGCAAGGGGCTTGGACTTCCAGCAAGCGTGCGTGAGCGTGTTAGATAGGAGTGAATGGAGACGAATGGTACTTGGGACCTGACGATCTGTTGGAGTGTGAGCAGGGTAATATTTAGTGAAGGGATTCAGGGAAACCGGTTATTTTCATATAGTCGGACTTGAGTCCTGGAAATGGGAAGTACAATGCCTGCACTTTAAAGGAGGGGTTTGGGATATTGGCAGTTTGGAGGGATATGTTGTGTATCTTTATACGTATATGCTTCTAAACTGTTGTATTCTGAGCACCTCTGCAAAAACAGTGATTATGTGTGAGTGTGGTGAAAGTGTTGAATGATGAAAGCATTTTCCTTTTTGGGGATTTTCTTTCTTTTTTGGGTCACCCTGCCTCGGTGGGAGACGGCCAACTTGTTGAAAAAAAAAAAAATTAAGAAAAATAGTGTTTTGTAAACTTGGTGTCCAGAATATAACCCTATTTTTCCCATATGTTCTCTATTTTTTTTTATTAACACATCAGCTGTTTCCCCCCAAGGTAGCCTCACTATCCTTGTAAAAACTCCTCACTGCTTTCAATAACTTACCTCCTATTCCATACATTTGCAACATCTGCCACATTGTCCCCCTATCCACCCTGTCATATCCCTTTTCCAAATCCATAAATGCCACAAAAACCTCTTTACCCTTATCTAAATACTGTTCACCTATATGTTTCACTGTAAACACTTGGTCTACACACCCCTACCCTTCCTAAAGCCTCATTGTTCACCTGCTATCCTACTCTCCATCTTACTCTTAATTCTCTCAATAATAACTCTACCATACACTTTACCAGGTATGCTCGACAGTCTTATTCCCATGGGGAAGTGGAACAGAATTCTTCCTCCGTAAGCGATGCATGTCGTAAGAGGTGACTAAAAAGCCAGGAGCATGGGGCTAGTAACCCCTTCTCCTGTATACACTAAAGTTATGAAGAGAAACTTTTGTTTTTCCTTTTGGGCTACCCTGCCTCAGTGGGATACAGCTGGTTTGTTGAAAGAAGATATATATATGTATAAATAATTTTAAAATGCATCTGAATTAGAAGGTATAATGATACTGACAGTATGGATGACAGGACTGGTATGTGTCATGTATTGTGCTCCGTGTCTGTACTATAAATAGAATGTTAAGTTTTATACAGCAAGATATTTTAAGTCTCTCAACTTAAACCTACTGGCTTTGAATCATCAACTTTGAACATTATAATGTCACCTAGTTAAGTAATGATTTATTTCCAATATTGTTTTTATTTTCTTATTATTATTGTTTTATTATTATTACTGTGAATTAGCAAGTGTTAAATGTAAGTTTCTATTTGGGCAAGGAAAACTAATGTATAGCAATGTTACAGGTGTGTTGTTTTGTGTGATGGCTTCTATGAGTGGCAGACCAGTAAAGGGGGGAAAAACAAGCAGCCTTATTTTGTATATACACCACAACCTAAAGGGGTAAGGAAATAATACTTCACTGACCTTTTCAGGGCCCCTTTGCAGGAAGGCAGCATCATTGTGAGAGAATGTAAATGGCTCTAATTTGAAACTTATACAAATTTATTTCTTTTTTTGCAGTTTACAGGTAATGTAGTTTATATGTAATAGAATATTATTAGGTACATAGGTACAGGAGAGAGCCACTAGCATGTGGTGCATTTAGGGCCAACTGTGGTTGCTAAAAGAGAAAAAAAGCCTGTGTCTAATTTCACTTAGGCCACCAGTTGTTTGTTTGAAGTCAGTATTTCTACGAAGTTCATGAATCCTTCATCTTGCAATTAAATTCAGTTTTCTAGTATGGAGTAGTTTAAAAGCTCTGAGCCAATATCACACCAGATTACTGAAAGGCTCGTAGGGCTGAGCAGTTGCTTTGTTCATCTAATTTTGCAATATGTAATATTCTTTGGAACTTCATGAGATTGCAGATGTTAACCTTTTGAAACTTAAGCTAATATATATGAGTAATTCAAAGAGAATTCAAATCGAGAGAGACTTCATCATCTTTTCAAAACCTCTTTATGTTGTTTTATGTATTCTAAGAAGGCAACAATGAAAATGCATATCTTCCTAAAAGATATATGGCAAGAAGCAGTTGTAATACCCTTAAGACATTTACAAAGGAATCTAGTAGCAAGTTCAATAAACTCTTCATTTAGAGGGGGCATCATTTCCCCTTAACTGATAAACATTGTTTTATCTGAATCTCACCCAAAATGTGATATAAGATTGTTTACCTAACTTACTGATTCAACATCTTTTTTGTATTTGCAACATGTTTGCTATTTTCCACCATGTTAGGATGACCTAGAAAAGGAAATACATTCACCGCCACTCATTCTCTAGCTGTCTTTCTAGAAGTGCATGGATGTCACAGTTGAAATCACCCACCAAACTACAACATCCCAGTTCTTCCTTCAGAGTTCAGGCACTTATTCCCATCTCTAGAACTAATGTCAAGTTAATTGGTTCTATTACATCTCTTCATAGATGTTACCATGCTTTAAATACAACAGCATGTCAAATCCCAAAAATCTATTTATCTTTAACCCTTAAACTGTCCAAACGTAGATCAAAGTTCACTTGCCCAGCACTCTGAATATTTTGAATTTTTTTTTTTTTTTAAATTAAAGAGGCAATTTCTGTGTGTAATAAGACCAAAAAAAAAAAATTTAGGACCAGTACTTACCGAGATAAAAGACCGCGAAGTTGGTGCTGGATGCTCACCTGATGGCAACATGAAGTCGTGTTGCTTGCAGAAGTGTTGCCGATATACCCTTTTTTCTTGTTTTTATTTTAATTTATATAATTTTTATGTTCTGAAAATTACAATTTATAGTAGTTCTTGTGATTTCATAGCCAATCTTTGTTCTGACACTAATATTAGGTACTGAAAGAGTACTCAAATACATACATAAGAACATAAGAATGTAGGAACACTGCAGAAGGCCTACTGGCCCATACGAGGCAGGTCCTTATCAAAACGACATCTACCTAAAGCTACTCAAGAAATAACTCCCGTACCCCTTGACACCAATCAAACCCAGCCCCTCCCACTCATATATTTGTCCAGTCTCTTCTTAAAGCTACCCAAGGTCCTAACCTCTATCAGCCCACTGGGAAGACTGTTCCACGCATCTACAACTCTGTTAGAAAACCAGTACTTACCTATGTCCTTTCTAAATCTAAATTTATCCAACTTAAATCCATTATTCCTGGTTCTTACCTGGTTCGACACCCTCAGTACTTTATTAATGTCTCCCTTGTTTATGCCCGTCATCCACTTATACACCTCAATGATATCTCCCCTCATTCTACTGTGGTCACAAATACACTGACAGGTGAACATTTTCACCTGCCTTGGTCACCTACTATTGCCTAGAAATATATACAAAGTACTTATAAGTCCCAGCAATGTTTTAGACATGCTGGAATATATATGAAACTCCTTGAAGCATCTTGTAAGACAAGTGTCACTCCACTGCTGATAGTGCAGCAATGGACACGTGACACTTGATGATTGTGCACTGCCTTACCTGTTTGTTTTCACTGTTACATATAAACATGTCTATCTGTTGTCTGTTTGTCTCTCTGTCTCTGCTTATCTGTTTGCCTGTGTGTCTGTCTTCCTGTCTCTGCTTTCTCTGTCTCCTTGTCTCTCTTTCTGTCTCAGAACCAACAGGTATTACACACAATGCAGAGTCATCACGTCTGATTCCTGAACAAGTGAAAATGTGTATTACTTGCCAGTCATGCTTATTATGCCTTATATCTACAAGCACAATATAGCACGTCATCTGGATTTTTTGGGTTATCCTAGGTAATTTACACTGCATAATTATTTATGTGTATCTGTGAGATAGATACAGAGATGCAGAGACAGGCAGAGATAGATACAGATGGAGACAGAGGCAGCCAAAGTCAGCCAGCCACCCGACCAGCCGGCCAGCCAACCACCCGGCCAGCCAACCACCCGGCCAGCCGGCTAGCCAACCACCCGGCCAGCCAGCCAGCCAACTACCCGGTCAGCCGGCCAGCCAACCACCCACCCAGCCAACCACCCACCCAGCCAACCACCTGGCCAGCCAACCACCCGGCCAGCCGGCTAGCCAACCACCCGGCCAGCCAGCCAGCCAACTACCCGGTCAGCCGGCCAGCCAACCACCCACCCAGCCAGCCGGCCAGCCAACCACCTGGCCAGCCGGCCAGCCAACCACCCGGCCAGCCAACCACCTGGCCAGCCAACCACCTGGCCAGCCAACCACCCGGCCAGCCAACCACCCGGCCAGCCAACCACCCGGCCAGCCAGCCACCCGGCCAGCCAGCCACCCGGCCAGCCAGCCAACCAGCCACCCGGCCTGCCAAACACGTATTACATGTTCCAGAATTTTCTCTTTACTTGGGATATAGGTTATAGGACATTCTGGCAGGATGACACTACCAGTGGTATCAAAATTGAAAGATGTTGCACATGGGTTATTATTGAGGTTTTTGATATTTCCTCAACTACTTGTGGCCACATCCATCTCAAAGCCACTAAACTCGGAGTCAAACATCACTTTCCTCTTAAAAAGGGAGAGTTAATACAATATGACATCAGTGAATCCCTGGTGTTTGCCATGCTCTTTGCTCTAGCTGGCACTCAGTTGACCTGGTGCTCCCACAAGGTACTAAGTTGTCCCAGATTTTTTTAATACTGTGCACACCAAGTGTTAAGACCCATTCTATACTGACCAGACATCTCAGGCCAATTATCCCAAATTTGGAGGCAGGAAAAATAAAACGTTGATCTACATTTGGAGTGCTAACGGTACTAACGTAGATCTGCATTTGGATAGTTTAAGGGTTAATCTGGGAATGCACACACACACATTCACCCACAGACAGTGGAACCTCAGTACTCATACAGCTCCGTACTCAAACAGTTTGGTATTTGAACGCTTTGTTCAATAGACAGATTGCTCGGTAGTCAACTGTTTGCTCAACACTCGACCAAACAAACACGACCTGCCAGAACTTCGCTGTAAACTATTTCGTATTTCTTTGCATTTGTATAAGTAAGTCACCACAGGGTCTAAAAGGGTTAGTGATAACAGCCAACCATAAAGAAAATTGGTCGGGAAAAATTTGTTCTGTACTCAAACAGATCGGCACTTGAACTGCCTTCTGAAACCAATTAAGTTTGAGTGCCAAAGTTCCACTGTACACCCGCCCACCCATCCCCTCACCCTCACACTTATCTGCTAGACACTCTAACCCCCCCCCCCCCTTTTTTTTTTTTTTTTTTTTTTACAAGCTATTTACAGGTTAAGGATTCCTAACTTTATTGGCAAGCTAAGAGCTGTTACCTACATCAGCTCATTTGAAAGCATTTTTATTGTTATGAGACATACAAGTAGGAACAGGATGAAGTTGGAGCCATGTGTGGGCCAGCATTTTCATTTGATCAACTGACTTTATCTCATTGACATCATTATGCTGTACGAATGTGTTAGATACTCGAGTCATCCTGGGTATGTATGATCTCAGATGGAGTGATGTTCTGGAGAAGGGTACAGCCAGAGTGAAGTTGCTGCTTTCTGCCCGTCTTGTGGCATAAAAGCTTGTTTCACGCTGTCCTCGAAGTGGATCCAAGTGTGGTATTTTGACAATATTGGCCTTGTACATAACAATAAGGCCACCCACATCCCTCCTATGTTGAAGGCTCTGCTGAAATGACAGATCTATCCAGGATGGGTCCAGGCGAGAGATGAGACGTCTTGCTCTGTTCTCTACTCTGTCAAGCAGTCGCAGATGAGAGGGGGGGGCAGGCAAACCAAGAAAGTGGAGCATACTCAAGGTGTGAGCGTACTTGTGCCTCGTACAGGATCTTGCAACCCCTACTGTCAAGCAGATGCGAGATACGGCGAAGTGCTGTAAGCTTCCTGGCTGCCTTGTTTGCAAGATTTACAACATGGTTCTTCATGGTTAGTTTGGAGTCAAATTTCACCCCAAGGATATCAACTTCTTCTCCAGGTGCCAACACGCCCTCCCATTCATCCTTACTACTGCACCAGCATTACCATCATGGTGCCTAGAGATGATCATCATTTGCGTTTTCTCAGGTGCAAATGTTACTTGCCATCTATTTCCCCAAGCTGATATAGCTCTCAGCTGGTGATTGATGTAGCTTAGAGCAGCTGGCATTTCTTCTCTTGGATAAGTGAATGTCAGTGTACAGTCGTCTGCATATGCATGTGATTCTGGGATGAGATGAAGAAGGTCGTTGAAGTAGACATTCCATAACAATGGACCCAGCACGCTTCCTTGTGGAACACTTGCCCCAATAGGATGTCTTGCTGATTCCGTTCCATTGAGAACTACACTTAGAGATCTACCATGAAGGTAATCACTGAGGAGACATAGCGTAGAGCCTGCAATTCCCAGTGCTTGAAGTTTTGCTAAGAGGCCCTGGTGCCACA